AACTGCACTGAAAAAAAAACCTCATGCACAAATTTCCTCAGATTTGACAAACTTCTGGTGTTCAGTTTATCCAGAAATATACATGGCTACATACATATTCTGATAAAATCTCCAGGGGTGAGACTAATGAAGGCTGTTTCCCACACCAGGCACTTGTGGGCATTTTAAAGTTGGAATAATTGGCCCAAGGTGGGGAGGATGGGTTCAAAGCACTGACAGGTTGGTGGAACCACATTAATGAAAAGAAATGCTGGAGAAATAGAAAGACACAGTGATAAAGTGTGCAAAGGGCCACTATATGCCATGCAACTGAACGGGAGCAGAATATGCCACCCCAAAGAATGCCACCTTGGTATATTGATTATTTTGAATTACAGTTACTCCAGAAGCAAGCCAGTGCAAGGACACTCTGACTCTCCTTTGTCCACTTGAAAGCAAGAAATAGACCTCCCATGTGAAAGGTATCTTCCCTGTATTCGGAGGGTAGAAGGCATCCTTTTGGCCAGAAGTAGGGCATTTCAGGCCAAGAAGGCTGTATCATCAAAACAGAGAATTTAGGACCAAGAAGGCTGTACAAACAAAGCTTGTTACTTCCTCGCTAATTTACTACCCCAAGCCCAAACTTGTCTTGTTGATTCCTCACAAATTTATTCTTTCTTTGTCTAAAAGGTATAAAAGCTGCCTACTCTGGTCACTGAATCATATTTTATGGGGGTCCCCTATGTTCAAAATTAAATTTGTTTTTCTCCTGTTAATCTATCTTATGTCAACTTAATTATCAGACCAGCCAAAGAGCCTAGAAGGAAGGGAAAAGTTTCCAACCCCATACAACCAAACGATACAATCTGATGATTTTTAAACTTTTAGAACAGCTAAACCATTAAAATTTTGACAGGAGTGTTTTAAGCAAAAGTTGCAACAAACCTCGATGAGGTGGAGGTGAGTGGGTAGAGTGATCCCTGCTTCCTGGAGAACTGCAATATTGCCCAGGAACTTCTGCCTCGTAATCATCAAGGAGTGATGTATCATCCTGGCTCTGTGTCTAGTATGGGATCCCAAATGTATCTGTGATCTTTGGCTTTCTGAATATGACACTTTGGGGAGGAGACCCATGGTTTGCGTACAAGAACCCCAGCTTACATAGTCCATCAAATGATTCTACTCCCTAGAGCCAAGGAGGTATTCCTCTTCCCACTGGAATATACCTGAAGGGAGAAGTACACTGTATGAAACCGACGTCTATACGATGACGTGTGGCCACTAACTTGAGAAGCATTTTTTGTTTCTCATAAAAGTAACGACTTTTTCAATTAAAAATATCACTCCAATGCCAGGTGATTGATCATACCTGGACTTCCTCAGTTAACTGTCGTGGTGGGGGTCATCCCTTGATGTAGATGCAATGGTTACTTCTAGTCCCGTGAATTATAGCAAGGATCAAGTGAGGAAGCCGCGAGTCAGCACACACAGTTGACAGCGGTTTCCACTTTAATGCCGTGTCTCACAAAACACATTCAATGATGGTATCTAGACTTCCTATTTGGAAACTCCAGAAGTGTCGGGATGACACGGGATGAGTGCTATGAATAAACCTGGTAACTAGCTGGTTTAAACCCTGTGGTTACATTGCCAAACCATCTACCATGGTGTTCCTAGGAGTTGGGCTGTCAGACGGCCACCAAGGCAAACCTGGGCCAGATAGCAACTAAGTCATATCAAACTGTGTACCTTAAGGTCCAGATGCCATAGCAGAGCTCAATAACCCAGGTCAGTGTTCAAGGAGGAAAGGTCCCCAAAGCAAGGGGCTGCTTGTTCTATCTGACAATGTCTAGTACTAACGATTAGTGTGTTCTAAAGTTGCACTACATCAGAAGTATAGATGGCATTATCCGTCTTAGTCCCTGAAGATACAGCAGTGAGCAGAAAAAAGTTTAATATTTACAAAAACCCAGAACATGTCTGGCATAAAGAAAATGTTAAATAAGTATTTGTTAAGTGTAATAAATATAAAATTGATGTAGAAAATCAGTTATTTATTTATAGACCAGCAAAAATCCTTCAGAAAATATAGTGTGGAAAAAAGATTATTTCTGACAGTAATAAAATATAAAATGCCTAAAATAAACTCTTCAATGATATTTGTTCAGGAATGATATTTTAACAATCTAAAATTTACTGTAAAATGTCAGAAAAGACTTAAGTAAGTGTATCTTTATTTCAGGAATTTTCTTAAATGGGAAAACAAAAACTGGAAAGATGTTGATTGCTCTTAAATTAATTAGTTTCAAGGTAATGTGTTCAGAAATCACAAAGGTACCTCTCTGAGGAATATGACAAGGAGATGTTAAATCCATCTGCAAGACACGTAGCTAAGGTGAAAAAGATGAATAATGAAGGAATACATTTTAAGAGTTCCAAATGGAATTATATTCAATTTTCATTAACTCATTGTGATATTGGCCCAGAGCTTAGGCAATGAAGCAGGAATAATTAAGGTGAGTAATAGAGGTATTTTGGGAACAAGAGCATGTGGGAGCCTCTCTTCACACAGACCCCAAATGCATTCAAAATGAATTAAATAATTACATTTCATAATATGTAACCACAATCATCTATTGACCTAAAACTTTTTTCATGACCTATTAAACTAGACCAGGAAGTTGAAGAGGAATCCACATTTAATGGTCTCTTTGCTGTTACAGCCAATGACATTAAACCTCCTTTCAGCCCTGCAGATATCTGCACATTCACTTATGTGTCAGTATTTTGCTTGAACAAGAAGTGTATGGAAAGATATGTGCCTGGTATTAAAATTGCTCACTTCAGGTGAGTAGGAAAGGAAGTAGGGTGGGTTAGGAGATTATTATATTTTCCTTATGCATTTTTGCATGGGTTTTACCATCTGCAGTTAGCATATGCTAAACTCCATAAAGATTTTTTTTTTAATGATAATGTTGGCCACTCAAACAAGGCATGAACCTCTCCAAGCCTCAATTTCTTGAATCTACAAAAAGGAGATCCTACCTGCTTTTACAAGTAATGGCACGAAATGCCAAGTGGATGTTCATGAGGCAGACACTGTCCCCAGTGCCATTCTGTCATTCACTCGGACAGCAATCTTATGAAGATATAGTGTCATTACTTCAGGAAGGCCATATAGTGCAATAGTGCAGCATAGACTTTAAAGTCAAGTGGCCAGGGCCCAAATTTTCACTCCACCACTCATTAACTGAGTGACATTAAGCAAGATGCCTGAAGTCTCTACGCTTTAGCTTCTTGGTGGTGAAGCAAATACAATAGTACCTACATCTCATAGCACTGTTGTGAGGATTAAGTAGATTGATATATGCAAACCACTGGGAACACTGCAAGGCATGTGATTTGGGTCATGAAAGGCTTATTATGGAACTATCTCAAGGACTTGCTGTGATGAACAAATGAGGCAATGTGTTTAAAATTTTTTTATAAATTGTAAACATATTACTGCTAATATATTTCCTGAGTAAGATACAGCATGTACCTTGGTTTTAATGGTTTACTGCATCAACAATCAAATACCAAGTCAAAACTTAATAACTTTCTCAAAAGTTACATCTCATTTTCTGAATCTTTTTTTCACTAGTGGAATGTTTATTCTAGAGGGAAGAGTGGAACTGAAATAAATGTGAATTATAAACATTTTATTAAAAATCTGTAATCTCTCTCTGTAATAACCCCAATAGAGAAAATTCACTTGAACAGCCTGAACAAGGAGAATTTATCATTTTGGTCTGATATTTGAAGTTTTTCAGTCACCAAAAGGAGAAGTGACTGGCCTGGCTCAGACAGAATCTTACCCTGCAGGTACGTGTTTCTCAGTGTCCCTTACTTGGATTCTTTTTCACTCTATCACATGCACCTGGTGTAGAAGGGGACGCCCATGCCCCATGCCACAAATGATCTTTTCCTGGATCACCAATGTCTATTTGCAGCATGACATCTGAAAGCCAGCTGAGTCAATTATACACCTCATCTCTTCAAGAAAAATAATGCCAACAATTTACAGAGTCTACAGAAAACCAAGGACCTTTCTACGTGCTTTGTATGCTATCTCCTTCAGTCTACACCATACTATTTTATCATCCACTTCTCACAGATGTGGCAGTTAAGGCTAAAAAGGTACTGGCCCCCTCCTAAGTCATAGAACCAGATTCTGAGCCCATTTCTCCCTGACTGCAAAATGTGCACACTTAACACTCACTGCACAGTTTTACAACCGCCAGTTTCTCCTCTCCCTGTCCATCACCAATGACGTCAGAGTAACTGAGTCTAATCACCTTTTCTTTTCCTGGTCCACAAATCCCTTGATATCTCCACAGTATCTGACTTCTTCCTTTTGTATAAGTGTCCCTTAGATACCATTACACAGAATTCACTGGAAGTCTCACTTCTTTGGTAAATGTACTATCTCAACCCAGATCTGTTGTCCTTAGCTCTAGGTTCTCTGCATTCCTTTCTTCACACTTCTCCTAGACAACATCTTTGCACTCAGCCTCAGCTCAGCCCCAGGCTTTAAGTAGTGTATGTGCACTGGTCATCAATGTCAATATATAAAATGCATCAATTGTGAAACTGCTCCTTTTCTAGTGCTTACCATATATCTTAATGGAATGTTCACCTTCCCCATAACTGGAGCTCAAACTTGCATTCATTCTGGATCCTTTCCAGTTTCATCAGTTATCCCAGTCCTACCTGCCCAGCAACTCTTGTATTCATTCTCACCTCTCTTTCCACCCCCACTGCCTCTTTCAACATAAAAACCAGAGTGTCCTAATAGTTCTCCCTGTCTTCACCCTTTCTCCAGTCCTGTCCACACACTGCTGCCAATTTAGTCTTTCTTAATCAAATACATTCATTAATTTACTTTTGGACCTCATTTTCTCAGAGGGCAAGCAAGAATTAGTAATTTTAAAAAAAGGTAACTGAAGAACATACTAACCAATCTCCCAATGTGGCTCATGTATTTTATTTAAGGAGTAAAACTCTAAGGTGCAGAAGACAAGATAATTATGCAAAATAACAACAGTGATAACAGCCAACATTTATAGAGTATGTATTCTGTAACAGATACTGTATTATCACTTTATCACAGTAACCTTTAAAGGTGGGCACAATGATTATCCCCATTTTACAGATGAACAAATGGAGGCTCAGAGGTAAGATAATCCACATTTAAGAAAGGGAGGCTCAGAGGTAAGACAATCTAATTTAAATCTAGATCACTTTGTTTGATTCCAGGGCCTAAGGCTTACCCACATGCTACATTGATTTTCCGTTGAAGTGCTATGGTTAAGAAGTACAGAGGTCACACAGCTTGATGGCTGTACACTCAACTGGGAAGTCAACACGAGGTCACAATGCTGTGATCTTGATGGGTAATTGCCCAAGTTTACAGCAGCCACTATCAGCTGAAAGCAGATGAACACACAAGTGAGTCACAAGGGATGGAAACAAGACATTTTTCAAATGACATTGACCTGAGCAAACCCTCTGCTCACTTCCTTTCCAAAGGCACCTTTCTAAAGTGTGCTGGTGAGACAGGAAATGGATTAGGAGATTCTCAAGCCAAAGCCCACCAGGATTCTCTATAACAAACAGCCTTTCCTTCAGATCAGATCAGCCTTCAGTTTCACATAGGCTTTCCATATGCTAGAACTCTGTAGGTTGGAAATGCACTCTACACCAGCATCTGGTCTTGTTGAGTATTGTTCTATTTAATTCAAATGGAACTGAATGTACAGTCCAGGACATAGGGGGTAAATGAGAGAAGCTGTCAGGGAACGTGTTAATCATCATGTTTAAGAAAAAACTGCAATGTGGTTATAGAATTTAAATATCAACAACAGAGAGAAGAATCTCAAGACTTGATGGAAGTGATGAAGAAATCATGAATTTGAAAAGACAAAGTCTGTTCATTTTACTACAGTACATAATGAGTACCAACTATATGCTAGGTATTTTGGAGCCAGACTTTTCCACATATTATCTTACATAATTCCCTCCACAATCCCTGTAAGGCATTATGCTTTAGATGAGGTAACACAGAGAAGATAATCAAAAGGCTCAGTGTGAGCCACCCAAGCGAGGAAGCTGGGATTCAAACTAATCAGGTCTGGCACCCAAATCTGAAATCCTTCCTTTGCACATCAGCTGTTTGGGTGACATGTTTATCTGCTTTGTGAAAAGAAAGTGATTCTGACTTTATGAATATTACCTCCTCCCTCTCCTTTTGTATGTTTTGGCTATAGTGGCATGTTGTTTATAAGTGGAGAACTGACTTTACTTTTAGACACAATCACTGGGCTTTCAAAAGAGAGTCAGATCCCAACTGGACTGTAAGCAGTCTTTAAACAACTTTTTCAAGTTAAATAAAGTATGACAGACGGCAACAAACTGTGAGCAGAATATAGTAATGATGTAAATTTAAAAATTTTAAAATGATGTTTGTTTCACAAAATGAAAACCAGTCTTAAAGGTTACTCTTTTTAAATTCACATAAAAGCGGATGATAGGGACAATATCCAAAATTATCTCAATGGGCTGATGATAGAAGAGTAAATTTAGCAAGGTGGAAGCTAATGTAGGTAAATGTGAACCCAGAATCTGAACCAAAATGAAATAAAACAAGCAAAAACACTACTGGATCAAAGAGCTCTGACTAACCAATAACTTTTAAAAATGGGTTTATGATTTTCTGCAAGCTCAGCATGAATCCACAGTGTGACGAAGTTGCTGAGTAGTGATTATGATTTCCCATTACATCAGAAGAAACACACTATAACAACGTAGTCCCTATTCTGAGGACCAGGCTTTACCCTAATGTTCTGATTTAGTGTTAATTCCACATTTTGAGATAATGTTCACTTGCTAGATTACATCCAGAGGTGAATGGTCAAGATAGTAAAGAAGGAAGCTTTGGCAATGGAAGAACTGAGGTTGTTTGGAAAAAATTAACTAGCAGGGATGATATTAATGTTTTTAATTATTTGAAGGACTACCACGCAGAAGAGAACTGTGTGGTTCAAGAGAGGCAAACAAGAACCCTAGGTCACTTGAAAATGATAAGAAAGTCAATTTTCCCTCAATAGCCAAATAAGCTCTACACCAGTTAGAATAGGCTGAAAGTATCCTCAGAAGATAATGACTTCAAAATCTCTAGAGGTCAAACAGCTACTTATCAAAAATGAAATTGTTCTTTAGAGAGAGGATCAAGCTTGGAAAATTTCAAAGGGAATTTCTGGCTCTGAGTGTCAGCGTTCCTATCAGACCTGCCCAGTAGGTGCCTGGGTGTTATCTTCTATGTATGGGGTAACTTTCTCTCATAAGGTAAAATTTTCCACAACTGCATGGAAAACAAAACACCAAAAAAGAACAGGTGACATAGACAGAGGGCTGGAATCATTTTCGCGGTCGTGTCTTTAGAAGCACACAGCCTCTTGAACTAGCGATGGGTGAGATAACTAGAAAATAACAGCGTTGCACTTCTCATATTAGAGCACAGAGCAGTGCATTAGGTTTGGCTTTTGCTAGGTAGAAAGAGACACCATGAATGTACAAGGATAGTAAGACATGCGGACAATTCTACATGCCTGGCAGAAGTGGTTATGGCTGCAAAGTTGAGCCAGTGAGTGAAGACTGGAGCCAAGAATTTGGAAGGCTAGCTGATGAAGGCAAAGGGGATTCCTCAGAAGCCAAAGCTGACTCTGGAAGAAATGGGACTAGAGAAATGAATAAACGAGTCTGCAACATCTCTGCAATACTGTGAACCAAAGTTGATGAATGGCCCAGGTGCTGAAGTCCAAATTTGGAGTGGCAGGGTAAGCACTGAAACAGATGGTGTTTGCTTGAGGAAGCGTGAGAGGAAGGAGAAACAATGACTGTTTACTTCAGGATACAAGGGGTAGAGAAAAGGACTTAAAAGTATCTGAGAAGAATTGGAGGTAAATATTTCATGGAAAGTTATCATGTTTAGGGAAGCCACTGAGAACCAAGTAATACAGTATGACCCATGGGTATCCAAAGCGAGCAGCAACACAAAGTGAATTCTGGGAATGGAATCTAGTTTTACTTGGGTGACTTTAGAAACCTTTCTAAATATGCTGGAAAAACCTGTGGAAGCAAAGTTTCCTAGCCCAACAGAGAGACATGTTTTGTGGAACCGTGAAAATAGCCCACTGTGCTTATATAAGTAGCGCAAAAAAAAGAAGGGAAAGAAGGGGAGAGGGGAAGGGGAGGGAAGAAATGTACATGTACTGAGCCCACCGTCAGGCGCAGTGCTAGGCATTTTCACAGGTATCATCTCATTGAGTCCTCACATTAGCAATGCAACAAAGGCATCATCTACATTTTACACAGAGAGAAACAGGCTCACAGAGGTAAAGAAACTTGCCTAATACCAAGAGAAAAAAAGTCGGGTCTCGAATCCAAGTCTCTAGGAGAAGCTCACAGAATGGTTGAAAGTGGAAACAAAATGTAAATGGAAAATATTTCTTGGTGGAACACACAGTACAGTAGAGTACTGGACATAGAAATCCATGGTCGTATAAACAGAAAGCAAGAAAATGACTTAAAAACCACATAAAAGAGATGAAGAGAAACTGGTAGTGCCTCCCAGGCCACTTCCCAGAACCTGAGCCATCCTCATGAACTGGTCACAAATGGAGAATATTAAAGACAAACTGTCCTGGGAGTGGCAGCAGTCAGCAGCTGTTATCACTCAGCAACTCGCCTACTTTTCCCTCCCAGCTCTTAATAGCAACAAAGCCCCTCCCCCCTCCAAGGCACTGGCCATCAAAGGGGCAAACAACCCAAAGCAGAAGCCAGGCAAATCCCCACGGAAGAAAACAAAGACACAGCGATAGATGCAAGGAGTCAGCTCAGTAAAAGCCAAAGTAAGAAGCAAAATGCAGCTTGTGAAAACACGAAGGGACAGAGAACAATCACCGAGGAGAAAACGTGTTTCCCTGGAGTGGCTACAGAGGGCAGCTGTGCCAGTTGGTGCACACATATCCAAGTCTAGAGCCAGAACTTTTCAAAGGGGTCCAGGTGTTTTCGGAAGAAACCTGCCATAACACTCTGACAAATACAGTGAGTAAGTAATACAGATCCATTACTTCTTCAAGGAAATAGCAGTCATGCATAAAGGGAGTGCAAGCTGCTATCTGGCAAAATGAGATCAGAACTGGTATCACTGACCCAGGAACTTGGAGATTTTCCAATTAAACTTCTTATTTTCAGGTAAAAAAACTAAGATTCAGAAAGGTTCAATTATGCCATGCCCCCTTTAAAGGATTGTTCTGGATGGCAGAAATCTGTGAGTAGTAGGAAGAGGGAGAGCTTCGGCTGTCAAGACCATGGGTAAACATTGAAATGTAAAATCTCCCAATGCAAAGACTCCCAGAGCAAGCCCCTCAGACCATCAGGCTGTAGAGAGAAGCATTCTTTCTGAAGATGACACAAAAATGACAGAAAATAAGATTGATGCTTCAACTCTTGTGAATTTCTCTAAGTGGAAAAAGAATAAGAAAATTCAAAAATAGCACAAAAAAGAAACAAAAAAGTTTTAAATGCAGCTGATCCAGTCCTCAATGTAAAAGCAGAGATAAACAAGTCATTTTAAATGTGTTAATATCATCTTGACGGTACTGCAGATCATTATATTTTATGATGTATTTGAAGGCTTCTTATTTTTCTTAACTTGCTACATTGTGATTTTCTGAGACCTGAACAAAGCAGTGGGAACACTGGTAAAAAAAAAAAAGGCAGAGAAAGATAACTTAAGACTGCAGAGTAAAATGCATGTAACTCCTATTTCTCATGTGCTGGGGGCAGAAAAAAATGTTCTGATCAAAAACCATCTTGCCAGCTTGGGTCAGGTATGGTCAGGCTAAATTGAACTCTGAATTACTCCCAGCAGAGGGGAAAGTGTTTGCTAAGAAGGAACGTGCTTGTATTAAACTGCAAGCCACCTGCTTCTTCTGACAAAGACTGCATGTTATGAAACAAGTGTAAAGCTCCTGTGGATTGTCAGTTATTCTGAAAAACATTGTAATGAAACTCTAATCTCCTGTTATCGGTTTCACTGATTACATTAAAGTGAACATTGCTATGTGGCCTAGCATTGTAGATGCTTCTGCTTTCTGACTGACCAACCACAAAGACTAGTGCAGCCCACCAGATAGGATCCTCTGAGTTCAAAGTAACTACCAGTGATCTCTGAATTAAACTACAAATTGGTCAAAATCATGTTGAGTTTGACCCAACAGTAATTGGAAGCCAGACATCCTTCAAATGGAAGAACTGTCAAAGCAATGAAATTTCAGACCCTTTGTCTTGGGGCCAAGGGTCATTTCCTGACAAAAAGCCACAGAATCCAAACTGGTAAGTGACACACGGGGATGTTTGGTCACGGTCTTCATAACTACGCTATACGATATAAAAAACGGAACGCAGCACTCCCTCGCTGTCCACAGCCTTGGTTCTGAACTACTCTGCTCTCCTTTAATCCACAGTATTTCCAAACTTCTTTTGCTGTCACTCTCTCTTTTGACTATACTTCAGACTTGATGTCTGGCATGGTCTCCCTGGCACCCCTTCACATGGGATTTGGGTCCTGCTTAGAGCTAGACTAGTTTAGGTACAAATCTTCTCCCAGTTGGACCAGGTCCTGTGACTGCCATTCTTAGTGAGATGGCCTGACTGCTTTCCTCCTTCTGCCATCTTGGGTAGCAGCTCACCTAAGTCATCAACTCTCTTGGCAGGGCAAATAAGGCAGGGAGGAGCTGGCTTTCTGCCTAGCATGCCAGTCTTCATATTAAAGCTCCTAGTGCATTGCATTTATTGCTGGCAAAGTTACTAGGTAAAATTATATTACTGGCTATCAGATTGCAATGCCATTCTTCTCCTTCTTGTTTTCCTAGACCTATTTTTTGGTCTCTTAGATCATATCAACCTTCCACTTCACAGCCTTGAAGGAAACACCAAACTTCTGTCCTTCTGGGTTCTTTCCTCTTTCAGTAATTCCTGAGAAAAGGACTCTTAAGGTGTATTGGGGACCTGGTCCCCAATGCATGTCCTCTGTCCAGACACACCACTTTCACAGATTTCCCTCCAGATAATTTGGTGGTATAGGTGTGTGTGGGGGGGAGTCATATTTCTTCATTGCTTTCGATGGAGAAGCTGCTTGGTTTTACAAACCTTAGGTACTAGAGTCTCTTTGACATGGGCTTCTTCAAGACGACCCTGTGTGACCAGCCTGTGACATTTTGGAAGTTTCCAATTGAGGCAAACTTTGAAGACGCTCCTGGGTAAGTAGGATTTTTTTTTTTTGCCAGGCAAGAAGGGTGAGTAATGCTTCTGACAATAAGAAAAGCATATCCGAGGTACAGACTTTCCAAAGGGCATGGTGTATTTGAGAACTGGCTAATACTCCTTCATGGCTGGAGCACAAGAGTGGTGGCGAGTTGGGGCAACCCAGCTTTCAAGGTCTGTGAGAAATAACTTGGAAAGGTAGATAGGCTGCGAAAGGCAAACACCTTGAGAGCTGTGTTGCAGCTTAAACTTTACTCTGTAAACAGTGGGAAACCCACTGATGTTTCTGAGTAGAGGAATGGCATGATTAGAAAGACAGCTTGGGCCACAGGAAAGAGGATGCACCGCAGAGAGAGTGACACTGATGTACACCATTTATGAAATAGCAGAAACTAAGGCAATATTTATGTAGGGCAGTGCCACAAACCTGAAGGGTTGATGAACTACAACTGAAAGCACTGCATACTCCTAGGTGACCCTGGGAAAGGTGCTTAACCTCTATTCCCTTACTTACAAAATAGAGATCTTAATCCCTGCCCTGCATCCTTCACAGGGATGTGGTAAGGATTCAGTGATCCAATGGAGGTAAAAGTGTGTAATCAACAGAAAAATGTTACAGAAATGAACTAGTACCAGATCATGATAATAAAAGAGCTTATATGAACTGCTTGTCAGGCCCAGTTCTGTACCCTCTGGCAGTCAGTCCCTTCTTCTCTCTTCTGCCAGCCTCAAGTCAAGTCAGTGGTGATCGCATGGAATCACTGCATTGCTATAATGGGCTGAGGGAGTGGGTACCCTCCACTCCGTGCTCCCTCTCTCCTTCAGACACTTTATATTCCTCCTTCCTTTCACATTCCAGTCCTCCTGACCTTCTGCCTCTTAGGCTGGATGCCTTGCTTACTTCCCTCTGCCATTCCACACACTCTCAGTTTCCCCTGACAACCCACTGCCTCCTCTCCCTATGTCTCCACCAGACCTTCTCCCTACTTTCTCACGTTAAAACCAGGCTCCTCTTTATTTACCCATGCTGGTGCCCCTGCTCCTTGGCTCTTTATACTCTGGAAGAGCTGCCTGGAAGAGACACTACGTTCCCACTCCTGCCAGGTGTGCTCAACAGCAAGAGCCTCAAATAAATGAGGACCTGGTCCCTTGAAATGGGGTTGTTCCAAGGAATAAAATCTGTGCTGCTTGGCCTGGAATGTCTTTGAGCATCCTGAGATACAGTAGTAAAGATAACAAGAGTATAAGAAGTACTTGACATATCTGAGCTCATTTAATCCAAGTAACATCTCTATGAAGCTGGTTATGCACATGCTACAAACGAAGCCAAGGAAGTCATAGGTGCAGAAACTTGAAGTTCCTCAAGGAAGACTGATTAGTCCTTACAATTTCTACAGTGCTTCTTAGTACAAGTGTGTACTGGCCACTGCAGGGAGGAGGGAACAGAAAGTAGAGGGTAGGATACCTATTACACATATGCAAGATGGTCTTTCTAACACAATCCTCTCAGAAGTGTCAAGATATATTGTGTTACAAAGCCTTTTTTTTGGTATGAGTTTGGATACCTTTTGTCATAAATGAAATAAAACTAACCCAAACTGGGTTAAATAAAAGCAGAATTCATTGGTTCAAATACCTGCAGAGTCCAGAGGTAGGAAAGGCTCAGAGTATGGCTAGATTCAAGGTTAAAATGATATCATCAGGAACAGGTGTTTTGGTTCTGCCTTTTGCTTTATTAGTTTCAGTCTCTGGAGCAACATGTTAGCAAGATGGTGGCAACAGATCCTAATTCTTCATCTTCTTAGGTTCAAGACCAACTAGAAAGAGAGTATATTTCTAAAATGTCCCGGACATTATATCTCACTGGTTTTTATTTCACTATGGGCCCAAATCTGAATAATCACCATCGCCATGGTCATATGGATCAAATGGAATATGGTTGATGGTTTAGTCCTGGGTCACATGCTCTGCCAACTGAAGTGTGGGGTGGGGTGTCACCTGAACCAAATAGCCAAATAAATGGGGGAAGGGTAGAGTCTCAAAAGACTATTTCCTGATAAAATAAATGAACGCCTGTGGCTGAAAGATAACAAAGGTCCTCTGTATATATCTAATAAGTAAATGTCCCAGAGAGGGGATTAATAGCTATTAAAGGCTAATAATCCATACCATCTATGAATTCTTACTATTTACTAGGCACTGTGTTAATTAAGCTCTTACATATATTCTCATATGCCTCACAACCACCCTCTGAGGTTAAGTCCTAGTATTATCCAAATATTACAAATGAGAAAACTGAGGGCCCAGAGCAGTGAAGTCACTAACCCAAGGTCTCATAGCTAGTAAGTAGGGGAACAGGGATATCAACTTAGGATACTGCTAAACTGTAACACCTTCCAGGTAAATGTATTTGTTAGTATTAGGGAGACATTCTGAGAAAGAGAATCATGCTCAAGGGGATCAAAGTCCTTACGAGGAGGTGGGACAAAGCTCCATGTTTAAGGGCTAGCAGAAGACCTATAGAAGTTGGATTAACTTGGCCAGTAAGTGATAGAACACTCAATTGCAAATGACTGAAACATCTCACCTCTCCAGAAGTCCTGAGGCAGGCATTTCCAGGGCTGGTTCACTCAGCAGCACTCCCTCAAGGAATGAAGCTCTCCCCTGTACCGTCTGGTATTCACAGTTGGTTTATCCCCTCATGGCTGCAAGATGACTGCAACAGCTCAAGGCATCACGTCTTCTTATGCCTCTGTCCATAGACAAAAAGTGAAATCTCTCCTTCAGGATCTCCTTTTTATCAGGAAGGAAAACCTTTCTTGGGAGTCCCCCAACTGATGTCTTCTTACATCTCACTGACCAGTACTGGGCTACATGCTTTGTACTAAAGCAATTTTTCTGTGGAAGGAGAATAGGATTCCTTCCTTCAGAAGGAGGAGGGCCCATCCTCTAATCCCAGAGCCAGAAATAGAGTGAAGCATGTGAGGTGTCTAGGGTACAAAATTTAAGGAGGCACTCACTCTCAGGGCCATGCACTTGCAACAACCCTTTGAGTTCCTTCTTACATTGTGTGCACCTTTTATGATCTTGAAAATGAGGGTCTCCTTAGGTTTTGTGCCTTAGGTGCATCAACTGCTTTACCTAGCGCCAGCCCTGCTCACCATACTGCCTCCTTCCAATACTTGAACAAAGTCAGGAGTCATTTTAGAGTAAAAAAGGGGAAAACCGCTATTGGGATGACAATCGATGTTTCAGTATCAGCCACTTGACTTCCATCATGCATTAGCCATCAAGCATGAATACAAAGCTCTAGTCTAGCTTCTGCCTTTGGGCATTTAACATCTCTGGAGCTTTTAACTGGAAGATCTCCAAGGGTTCTCCTAGCTTTGAAGTTCAGAGAATCTTGTTAGATACTTTTAAATCAAATAACTTTTATGGATTCATCTGCTGTTAAAGAAGCTGAACTATAAGGAGACTGACGTTATTTGATTTCACAGGAGGAAAAAGTCATGTATCTGGCTCTGATCCTTCTCAATCAACCTCCCTCTCCATTACCACCCCTTTCTACTCCTCCACCACCAACACATACATTCACAATAAATCATATAGCTATTAGTAGTATATTTGCCTGACAGAAAACGAGTGGACACTGTGATGTGCCTTCTAGTTTACCCACTGCCAGGACTGAAGCACTCATTTCCTCAGCTGTTGGGAATGTTAGTGACTGGTTTTTCTCAGCTGAGTCAGCTCCCCAAAAATCACATCTCCTTCTCTTGGACAGCCTGTGTCCAATGACTGACTGGAGGTGGGGTGCACTGGAGGTAGGGTGTGGAAGGTGGCAGGACGGGAGTTATGGGAGGAGTAATAATGGTCCAGGCCCTTACCCCAATTTGAGACAAATTTACAGGGATATTTCAGCTCCAGAATTATCTGAGGTGCTGGGTTGAGGCCTTTGTTTTGATTGTACCAAGTATAATTTCCTCTGCTTAATCTTCCTTCCTTCACATCCCCAGAGGTGTTAATCCTGAGAACACTCACCAATAAACTTCTTGCATACAATTCCCCACCTCAAGAGTTTGCTTTCCAGGGAACCTAAACTGAGTCAATAACTAGGGACCTTTTTGTGGAAGCTGAGGGCATTTCTTTTTTTTTTCTCTTCTGCTTCCTTTATTTTATTTTTGGTCACACATACTTATATAGATAAAATTTTGAAGTAAATTAGCACGTAGTAAACACACACAGTTGAACATATTTCTTTGTGCTAAAGAAATAATGATGTTTTATTTTAGTAGGATTAACTAAATTATTTTAGTAGGATTAACTTGTTCTAAATAGCACTGCCTGGAATTAAAGCCACATGACACAAATCTGGAGTGATTTTTCTCTTTGGCTATATGAATTCCTCATTTGCAACTGAATAACCTAAATTGGAGTCCTAGTCCCCGAGAGCCTATATTTTACCATATGGAAGAGTGGTTCCCCTCTTAAGCTCTTTATGGATCCTAGAAAAAAGTCCTTGTCATTGAAAACATTCATTTTTCGTAATGCATTTATCCTGTAACTTTCTGTTCTCAAAATTAAGTAGCATTTCATAGGTCTCCTTGACCTGAGTGTTTGGTAATACATATTTTCTATTAATTTCAAAATCACATATTTCACTGGGCTTGAAATTGGCCCTGAGGGGGGATTCTAATAGCAAGTGAGCAAGCCTTTGCCCCCAGGGTCTTATGTCTACATTTCTAACCAGAGGAGCTCATGCTAACTGCTGAATTCCTTATATCAGGGTAAATAAAGCAAGAAAGATATTTCCACTGACTGTCTTTATACTGTTTGACTGAAGTGACAAGACTGCAGCGGATTCATGAAATTTTCAGTTGTTATTCGAGTCAATCATAAACAACCTATTTAGTTTGTTATGATGACAGAAATAATAGGCTGTCTAAACAGTGTGATTCATCATCCAGTTTTTTGTTTATCTTAGTTATCAGATGAGATCAAGACTTCACTATTTTACTGATAGCAATAACTGAAAACAATTGATTAAGAAATCTGTTTTGTTTATTTTTTTTTCCATACTATCCATAGGTAGGGGTCTACGTAACTTTCAGCTACATAAGAGCGGTATCCTGCTAAATGATTCTTCTCACTCTGGACGCTCCAGACACTTTTCTACTCATAGCTGCCAAGGTGTTCTTTTTAAACCGAACTTCACCTATTACAAAAACTGGTACCAGAAGTGGCATGAAACTGTAAAAATAACAGAAGTATGTATCATTGCCTTAGTGGTCAGGCAGCTTGGTGTCAAGGAGACACAAACAACCTGGATGACTAGAGATCTATTTAATTTAACAGCAAAATATTTGGTACTATCAGTACATTAACTTAATTACAGATGGTGAAGTTACATAGTTGGTGTTTATAATGGAAGAGGATTAAAAACAAAATGTTAGTAGCATGTGTTAGGTACTATTGACTCTGTTCTGGCAAGATATTACATAAGATGACCTAAAAGAGAAGTGGTTGGTTTCTGAAAAGAAATCAAAGGATAAAGGAAGGTCCAGAAAACTGGAGCCTTGTTGAATTGGAAAAGCCATTTGCTTGCATAATGCAAATGATAGCAGACAGTATAATGCAGACTTAAAGACTCAAATGCCCAGTAAAACCTCTCAAAGTAACTCTAGATAGAGACCAAATTAAGGAGGTAGCCTTTCTATGTGCTGTTCTAAATATTTTTAACCATAGTCGAGAGAGGTCTGAGGGTAAAGAAGCAAAGAAATAAGGGATATTTGAGAATTATGTCCAGAAAAAAACTTCTTTGAATGTAGTTACTGACACATAGAACTAAATACAAATAGATTACTAAATTCAGAGGTAACTGTACTGTTACAGAAACCATAAGCCTAGAATGAAGTTCCTTGGATTACTCTATACAAAAACAACAAACCTGGGTCCTTTAATCTTCCATGATTAGGAGCTGACTTCAAAGGCTCTGCAGCCCTTAAAGAGAGCTTTCTTCCCAAAACACATTTCAGATGTGGCCAAGGAGAATAAACAAGGAACGGCCTCCCAGAGGGTAGACCCATGAACCATGGAGACCAATGAACAACGGAGTTCTCTCAGAGTGCAGAATCAGAGTCCAATCAAGGAACGCTCCCAGCCCAAGAGGAAGGATGGCGTCACAGCATCTTCCCAGGGGAATCTGAAAACTATCACAGCCTATTGACTGTTCTGTGTCTCCTGTTCTCCTTTCTAAATAGGAATTGTGTTAACTTTTGCTGTGGTTAAAAAAGCCTGCATATATTATATATTTATAACAACAAGCATTCATTTCTCATTCACAATCAGACTAGGCATTGTACCTGGAGTCTGAGTATAATAATGGAAAAGAAAGTGCTTTGCTTGGATTTCCTCCAAAAGAAGAGATAGAGGGAAGAAGTGGCATGCAACTAGTGACCCCAAAGAATTGGAGAAGGGGCCTGGAAAGAGTGAACCAGGGAAATGTGAAGGAAACAAACCAAAGCTTTGTTAATCAGCTATTCATAGCTGTGGTCAACCATGGCTCAGTCCTGTGGGGGATCCTCTGAGAAGTCACTTAGAATGTTTCTCAGAATTGTCCACCTGAGCGACAAGAGAGGGGAGTGTATCCACTGTAGCCCTTCCTCCACTGGTCAAAGGTTGTGCCTAGCAAGTATCAACTCATTCACAACTACAACTTTACAATTAAGGTTGCCAGATTTAGAAAATAAAAATTTGAAATGCCAGTTAAATTTGAATTTCAGATAAACTATAAATTTCTTTTAGTGTAAGTTTGTTCCATACAATATGAGGCACACTTATACTAAAAACAAAGAAAAAGTTTCTCATCAGAAATACGTATTTAATTGTGTGTCCTGTTTTTTAGCTGGTAAGCCTATTTATGATAAAATCAAACAAACGAGTAAGCAAGTTTCTGAAGGTTTACTACTCAGCAGCAACAGCAAAAGGCAGAGGTATGTGGTGCAGCTGAGGTGAGCTGCTCTGAGGCCTGCAGCTGGTTGCCACAGCAACAACCAGAGTTGAAAAGGTGGACCAAGAGAAAGTGAGGAAGGACACAATGGTATCTGTGCCATTTGTAGGTGAAAATCCTAAAGATTAAGCAACTGAAAAGATTAAATTTAATAAAATGGAAAAATCCAAAGTCACACTAAGTGAAGCACTATGCTGAGGGTTGTAAAAGGTAAAAGATGGAGACAAGGAGTTTCAGTGATGATGGTCTAGCTGGGGAGACAGTCTTGAGAATGGACTATAAGAGAATAACTCTTCCAATCACTATACTGTGAGCACCTGAGGCCAGGGACTAGGCTGGATTCATCTCTATATTCCATAGTATCTAGAATATACCTGGCACCGAGAAGGCCAGTACATGTTTGTTGAATGAGTATATATATGAAATGAATACATGAAAAGATAAGGGAAAGAGAAATACTTCAAAAGAAAGAAAGGAAAAGAAACAGGAATAAATGAATACTGGAAGCCTTCCAGAAAGACTGATTCTTAATTCAAAGAGATCTTTATGAGAAAAGAAAAGAATTTGAAAGTGAGGAAATAAGTTACCATTTATTCCTCTAAGTCTTTAAAATATAGCATTATATAAGGCCATTTAAGTGGAGTCTTTACAATACGTGTGTATGTGTGTGTGTGTGTGTGTGTGTGTGTGTGTGTGTATCTGTAATATAGCCCACACCAAGGGGTCCTGCAGGATAATCATTGATA